ATATATATATTTTTTTTTGGTGACAAAGATTGGCCATGAGCTAACATCTGTTGCCAATCTTCCTGTTTTTGCTGAGGAAGATTGTCCCTGAGCTAACATCTTCCTCTATTTTGTATGTGGGATGCCACCACAGTATGGCTTGATGAGTGGTGCATAGGTCTGTGCCCAGGATCTGAACCTGCGAACCCCAAGCCACCGAAGCAGAGCACGCGATCTTAAACCATAACTTAAACTTATGCCACCAGGCTGGCTCCTGATTTTTATTTTTTAAAAGCGTCCTCTGAATCAAATCCAGAATTTGAAATGTTCTACAAGGTGACTAGGCCAGACTCTTCGTAAATGTCACTGTCATGAAAAACAAACCAAAAAAACTACATGAATCTTGATGGAGTCCTGAAGCAGAGAGAGAGAAGAAGAGAGAGAGAGACTATAAAAGACATTTAAGAACAATTGGGGAAATTTGAATATAGACTGTATATTAGATGATATTATGGAATTATTGTTAATTTTCTTAGATGTGACATGGAATTATGGTTATGTAGGAGAATTTCTTTATTTTTAGGAGATGCAAGCTGAACTATTTAAGAGTAAAGAACCATGACTTCTGCAACTTATATTCAAATGGTTCAGCAAAAGACAGAGATAAAGAGAGAAATACAAACCAAATGTTAACAATTGGATTTAGGTGAAGATATATATAGCATATATATACTATTCTTGTACTATACCATTCATATATTTTACATTTTATTGAAATTTGGAATTTTTCAGAACAAAAAGTAGAAAAGAAAATTACTGCTAAAGACTGAATGTTTGTGTTCCCCCTAAACTCACATGTTTACACTTAATCCTCAGTGTGATGGTATTTGGAGATAGGGCCTTTGGGAGGTGATTAGGTCATGAGGGTGAAGCACTCATGCATGGGATTAGTGCCCTTATAAAAGAGACTCCAGAGAGAAACCTTGCCCCTTCCACCATGTGAAGATACAGAGAGAAGATGCCCTTCTATGAAGTAGACACTGGATCTGCGGGAACCTTGACCTTGGACATCCCAGCCTCCAGAACTGTGAGAAATAAATGTTTTGTTTAAGCTATCCAGTTTATGATATTTTGTTGGCCCAAGTTGACTAAGACACCAACTTAACCCAGACCCCAAAGATTTCCATAGAGAAAGTTCCAAGAAATGTGAACTTTCAATCAAATCACAAATCATACAAAGAAATAAGGCATCTTATACAAGAATTAGCAGAAAAAACAGATAACAGAATCAAACTCATAAAGACATTGAAACAAGAATTACCAGTTGTAAATTATAAATATGTATATTTGATATATTTAAAGAAATAAAAGATTAAAAATATAAATAAAGAACAAAGTTCTGCAAAAAATGAACAGGCAAGTTTAAAAAGGAATCTAAAACTTTTAGACTTTAAGAAAATGTAATAATTGGAATTTAAAATTCAATGGACAGATTTAACAGCGGACAGACACAGCTGAAGAGAGAATTAGCAAACTGGAAGCTAGAACTTAAGTAGTTTTATCATATAGAAGAGAAACATGGAGGATAGAGTGAGACAATCTAACATGTGTCTAATCAAAACTCTAAGATGAGAAGAGAAATGGACAATGCTTTAAGCAGGATTTTTATAGAGAAGAAAAAAAACAGAAATTTACACCCAGACATAAGACAATGAAAATGCAGAGCACCAAAAACAAAGAAGTAATAATTAAAACCAGTAAGAGAGGAAAGGCTGATTACTTCCAATGGAACAGTTAGACTGACAGGTGACTTTGAAACTGCAAAAATGTAAAACAGAAGAATAATATCTTTGATGTGCTTAGAGAAGATGACTGTCAACCTAGAATTATTTATCCAGGGGAAACGTCTTTCAAAAATGAGAGTGAAATAAAGACAT